CTGTGTGGCTTTTGATAAGAGATTGATTCTTGGTTTTAAATCAGTTCTATTTTTAATCTGGATTTCTGATTGCTGATTTTGCATTTATATATTGCCTTAGAGGGGCGCTGGTCCAAAACACACTGCAGAAATAATCCAGTTTGAGACCACTTTAACTGCCCTGGCTCAGTGCAAGGGAATCCTTGCAATGGGAAGCTGTAGTTTTGTGAGACATTGAGCCTTCTCTGTCAGAGAGCTGTGGTGCTGCAACAAACTACAATTCCCAGGATTCCCTAGCACTGAGCCAGGACATTTGAAGCGGTCTCAAACTGGATTATTTTTGCAATGTGTTTTGGACCTCGTTAGGTTCAAAAGGCAGATGAAGATGATGAGGATTATTTGTCATTAACTTTATTTATTTCCTGCCTTTCCTCCACCCCCAAGACTGGGACTCTATACTCCAACTTTATTTTACTTTTAAATGGTTCCTTTATTTTGTGTTTTTCCCTCTGAATTCAAAACAGAAAACATAAATACCCTTGACCAGAGCTTGCAAGTAACAAGCAACAAGTTACTGTTTTTCCCCTTTTACAACAAGGATGTAACAAAATGATATTTCAAAAGCAATGCAACAAATTGGAATAATGTTTCTTTCCTTAGTGCAACAAGCAATGGTTTTACAGTTCTCTTTAAAGGATATTTGTTTTTTAAAAAAAGCATTTTTGCAGGATTTATTTACCTTTTATGCCAAATCTTTTACCAGTCCTAAGGTTTCTCCAAAAAACAGCAATGAGAAGTAAAGGAAAAGTGACACAATGCAGCAAATTACTCTCTGGATCCAGGTTTCTTCTTGGAAACCTACTGTTCTGCAAGAGGTTCATGATTGGAAAGAAAAACCCAAATTTTTGATATAATAATTTTTGATATAATAATTGATTATATCCATCAAAATATTATATAATAATTTTCATGCAGGGGTTCCCTGAGATCTGGAAATTATTTCATCCAGTATAAAAAGATTGAGAAAGGCCGCTCTACATATTCCAGTAGTAACAACATGGAATTATTTTTCACCCAAACCACTATAATGAGAGACAGGGACAGAATACTTTTAAACTTTACATTGACATTTAATTTTCTTTTAATTGAGGCTACAGCCACAATGCAAAAGCAATGCAGCTTGGCACCGCTTTAACTATCATGGCTCCATCCTAGGGAATCCTGAGATATATAGTTTGTGGTGGCACCAGAGCTCTCAGACACAGAAGGCTAAAGATCTCACAGAACTACAAAGCCCATGATTCCAGAACATTGAGCCATGCAGTTAAAGCAGCGTCAAACTGCATCAGTTCTGCAGTGCGGATGCAGTCTAAACTTTCCATTTCAAATTGAGATTTACTTTTAAAAAGTCCTTTTCCAAGCTCTGGCCTCTGACCGGGTTTAAGAGGAGAGGAAATCTAAGATTTCTTTCATCACTAGGACCTTCTCCTGAGCAAAAACAGATGACAAGCTTGCAAGTTGCAAACAAAAATCCCATTTGGTTCAACTAGATCCCCAGAACAACATGACAAGACAGTAGTAGCTCAGCACTCCATTAGGTATCTGGCCATTAGTTCCAGATATTTTCTATATTTCAAGAGCTCCTTGAGCTGATCCCAGGTATCAATATGGTCCCAGAATAAATTAAACAGATGGGAGGAAAATCTATCCATAATTGTAGATGTCTTTTACTTTTCTGATAAATAAATCTTGCCTGGAATATAATCTATTTGGCCAGTGTGGCGTACTAGCTTGAATGTTAGACTAGGACTTTGGGAGGCCAGGGTTCGAATCCTTGCTCAGTCATGAAGACCCCCTGGGTGACCTTAGGCAAGTCACACTCTCTCCACCACAGAGGAACGCTATGGCAAGCCCACTCTGAATAAATCCTAAAAGGCAACATGGTGTAGTTGTTTGAACGTTGGACTGAGGCTGCATCCGCAGAGCAGAAATAATCCAATTTGACACTTTAACTGAAACAACCTTAATAAGTGTATTACTTATTAAAATCAAATAACTTGAATAAATAATCCACTTTGATACTTTAACTGCCATGGCTCAATACTATGGATTTGTAGTTTTGTGAGATATCTAGACTTCTCCATCAGAGCGCCCTGGTGCCACAACGAATCTACAATTCCCTGGATTCCACAAAACTGAGCCATGGCAGTTAAAATGGCTGAATTATTTCTGCAGTGTACATACAGCCCCTGATTCCAGGAAACCAAGGTTCAGATCCTAGCTAGGACATTAAAACCCACTCAGTGACCTTGGGCAAGTCACAGATTCTCAGCCTCAGAGGAACACAACAGCACCCCCCCCCCCCCGAACAAATCTTGCCTAGAAAACGAAGCAACAAAGTTCACCTTCTTGGAAGTTGGAAATGACTTGAAGGCACACAGCAACAACAACGTAATTGAAATATTTCAAGGTAAGTCTGGGAATCCACAGAAGGTGGTGATGCCCCTGGCCAAAAAAAGAGCACATATTGCAAATCAAAGCAATAGAGGAATTAGAGGAAAAAAGGCAGAATCTTTGTTACCAAGTACTTCCAAAAAACAGAAGATATAGTGAGGATCCGATCCGCAAATTTCAGTTTCCGTGTCATTAGATTCATTTGCATTTTCACGAGGCCATATGATGCCAAACTACAGTTGGCAGACATGCTAATCTTTAAATGTTATTTACAGCGCTTATATTTTAAAAAACATTACCCTCAGATGCTAAGAAATAGAGCTAGACTTTGGTGGGGGGGATATGATTACAGCGCTTATGAAACAAAGCAAACCGTAATGAACGTGACACTATAACTTTTCTTTAAAAGCTGCCTCCATGTTTTACAATGCCTGTGGTTTCTTGCACAGCCCTGCAATCACAAAGCCAAGAAAGAACAACTTCCCCTTCTCCAAAATAAATACTGGCATTCTGATTTTTAAAATTTATTTATTTGATTTATATTCCAACTTTTTGTGGGGTTTTTGGGCTGTGGTTCGCAGCAGGATTAAAAAAACTCAAACAACAAGTACAAATAAATATTATTAAAATTATTAAAACATAACCCAATGAATACTATTTAAAGACAATACAACTAAAAAAGTCTTAAGAAAGCACATCAACCAAAATAATTTAAAATGAAGGCTCTGCTCCAGCTGATGAGTACTAAGTCAACACTTCGGTAAACTCCATTAATGCAATAGGCCTATACTTTAATTGGGATTAACAATGAGGGTTGTATCTATGTGCCTTCAAGTTGCCTGTTGACTTACGGGAACCCCCATGAATTTCATAGGATTTTCTTTGGCAAGGAATATTCAGAGGTGGTTCAGCCAGTTCCTTTCTCTGAAATGAAGCCGGGTATTCATTGGCAGTCTCCCATCCAAGTACTAACCAGGGCTGACCTTGCTTAGCTTCCAATATCAGACAGGATCCAGTGCAACAGGACTGAACCCGAAAAAGTGTAGTTGTTACTGTTACTGTATGCCATCAAGATGTTTCTGACCTATGGACATCCTAAGATGAACAAATCACAGGGGTTTCTTCGCAAGATTTCTTAAGAGACGGGGTTTACCATTGCCTTCTTCTGAGGCTGAGAGAGTGTGACTTGCCTAAGGTCTATCAATGGATCTCTATGGCTGAGCAGGGAATTGAACCCTGGTCTCCAGACTTATAGGTCAATGCTCAAACTACTACAGCACACTGATGTGTAGCATCCTCCATTGAATTCCCCATAAAAAGTCTTTGTAGGGCAATGTATTGACCAGACATTGGCCACTTCTGGTAACTTTGCTAACTTTTACTATTATTATTATTATTATTATTATTATTATTATTATTTTGCATTTCTTGCACCATAGAGAGTTGTCCTAAAGGTACATAACAACAACATATACCCTCTAGAGAGCCAGTGTGTTGTAGTGGTTTGCACATTGGACTAAGACTCTTGAGACCAGGGTTCGATACCCCTCTCAGCCATGGAAACTCACTGGAGGCAACTCCCTTCTGAAAGATCTTGCAAAGAAAACCCTGTGATAGGGTCACCATAAGTCAGAAATGACTTGAACGCACACATCATCATCATCAACAACAGCAACAACAAAGGATGTGTGTGTGTTTGGAACCAAACCCCAGCGGACACCAAGTGCTCACGCTACTAGGGACAGGACTGTGAGACTGGTCAATGTTAGCTGTCCTGGGTGAAATGGACCTCTGGATCTGATTCAAGCTTATGGTGATGCTTGTTTCTTGGGAAATACTGAGGATGGAGCAAGCTTGTTTTCTGCTGCTCCAGAGACTAGGACATGGAGCAGTGGATCAAACTACAAAACAAGAGACTCCACCTAAACATCAGAAAGAATTTCCTAATGGTATGAACTGTTCGACAGTCTCATGGCGTATGGTGGAGTCTTCTTCTTCGGAGATTTTTAAACAGAGGCTGGATGCTCATCTGTTGGGAATGCTTTGACCGTGTCTTCCTGCATGGCAGAATGGGGTTGGACTGCATGGCCTTTGAGGTCTCTTCCAACTTTATGATTCTGCCATTCTATGAAATAACCTACCGTAGTTCTCCAATGAAGAAGGAAAAACCCACCAGTCAGGGGGCAGAGACCTTACTTTGCAGCAACAAGATCCAGGTTCAGACTTTGTCATCTTCAGACAAGTCTAGCAATGACTTGTTTGGAACTAGACTGGATGTCGCAGCAACAATTCTGAGCTAGATGGATCAAGATCCCACTCACACAGGAGGCTACTTATGATACTGATGGTTTTTAAAGGAAGCCAGTTTTGTCTTTGCCTTAAGATGGATGAACAGAATGCCCAGCGTAGAACCCACAGATTAGAAAGTCTTCCGTTTTCAGAAGAATTCCCAGAATCTCCCATTCTGGGAACTGACAGCAAAAAAAGGGAACCCAGAGAAATTACTCAGGACATAGAATAACATTGGTTTTTTGGTTTTATATTTCGCTTTGTTTGTTAACTACCTTCACATCAGTCTCAACCCATGGTGACCCTATGAGACATCTCCAGGCCCCCCTGTCCTCTCCTGCTCTGTTTAATTCCTACAAACTCAGATTCATGGTCTCTTTAATAAAGTCCATCCATCTAGCATG